TATATATATATATATATATATATATATATATATATATATATATATATATATATATATATATATATATATATATATATATATATATCATTGTTTACTTAAATCTGACACTAAAACAGCATAATTGGCATGTTTTTTTTGTTATCGTCAATTTGAGTAAGCTAGCATATTTGATATTGAGGTTCTCTCAAATATAAGCATATGCATTCTGTAGTTAGTTGTATCCTTTTTCTTTATGATGTCATATAACTATCATAGATTGCTAGCTTTAGTGGCAGAATAACATGGGATCTGTTGTATAGAGGCACTCTTTGTCTTCCTATTTCAGCATGCCTTCCTCATATAGCAGGACTTTTAAGTTTCATGCTAATTTCATTTCTAAAACATTCACTGGAAGATTTAGCTTGAAAGTGCTTGTGACTTGTATTCCTTTTGTTGTGTGCCTTGCTAAGAGCTAGTACATCTAACAATATAGGGATTGTCAAATTAACACTATAATTTGTCTTAGTTGGGCGTGTAGCTAATAAGAGTTTTGTACCTGAGTGATGTTGTATCTCATTGTGCGAATGTTGAATATGGTTAACTGAATGTGTGCTTGACATCTCTGCCTGTATCCCTTTTTTGCTAATATGATTAAATGATAGACATATATGTTAAGTTCTATCTGTATTCAGATCTTACTTTCCAAATGTATTTAAAGATTTAAAAAATAATCAATAGATATAATCTGTTTTAGCCTAAAGCAAAAAAAAAAAAAAAGAAGAAAAAAGTCTGGTAGCTTCACGAGTCCTTTTTTCTTCTCATTTCTCTGACAAATCATCTTATTTAAAAGGTGCCATTGATTGGTTTGAACTCATAGCTTCATTAATTTAACTTGTAGGCCAGTCTTGCATTATATCTGTAATAAAGTTTGATTGGCATGTGTGTCTGTTGTTGTATGATTGGTGTCATCTCCAATTGATGTGCTGGTTGTTTGCCTTCTGGGCTGCAAGTTACTGAAAATTCACTGGCAGTAGAAACATATAAAACATTGTTGCGGAAGATCCACTGTTAATAGTCTGGTATCGCGAAGTCAACAAAATTAGACAGTTCAAGTGAAATTATGTTTGGCACTTGCATCGGCAGTGGATGCTTTGAGCGTATATGACTTAGTTTTGTGAAGTTTGATTTGCTGTAAAAGTTTGGTTGGTAATCCAGGATTTATTTGAGTATTTTCCATGTAAAACAGGTTTTTCGGAGGAGATCAAACATTTCAAGGCAGACTCTCTTGAAAACCGTTCAGGTTAGCATTCTTTTCAGTATTGCTATTTATTTTACTGTATTCGTAAAGAGCTTTAAATAATCAGCTAGTTTTCTTTCTTAATTGGCAAATAAAAGAAAGACATTTTTAGTGATGCCATATAAGTTCCACATCAGAATTGGATATATGAAAAATCACGGTATGACATCAAAATCTATCTCATAAATTTTTTTCTTCAGTTTTTCGGTTTGAAGTACAAATAACTTAGATCGGATTACATTAAAACTCATTGCCACCTCTGACAATTTCGCTAAGAACAAAAATGGCATAAATATATATGTCATGGTTTATATGTACAGCAAAAACGTGCTGCGGTATCCTGTGCATATAGGCAGAAATTGTGCATCGATTTACCTGAGCTGCAGCAGCGGCCGTCTACACCTGCGGCGGGGACGTGATCTCACCCGGGCGACAGTTTCTTATTCGTACTTCCAAGGTACGGCCCCACCATGACCGACGCGTTCGGCAGCACTGCCTCCTCGGTGCCTGACACACACAACATCGGCCGTAGTCACCCTGAGCGATTACTAATCCCCATTCGGGAACGGGAAGAGGAAGAGGTACGTACTCGCCTCCATGCGGCGGGGGCCATCTTGGGCGCGAACACCTTGACGGTTTCCACCTTCAAGGCCGCACCATAACCAGGGAGGCCTTTGCACCGCCCATCCTCTCGGTATCGGGAGTACTCCGACATCGTGCTTCCACTCCCGTCTTGCCCGTTCTTCTTCTTCACGCTGCTGAGGAAGTAGAGCAGCGGGCGATCGCAGGGCCGGTCCGGCGCCACCTGGCGGGTGTTGAACGTGAATGGCCCATCACCGAAGCTCCTCCAGGTCTTGAAGGTGCGGAGCGGGACCTCCATGTCATTGGCCGCCAAGACCCGCGGGTACAGCTGCACGGTGTATCCCCAGGAAACGGAGACGGACCATGCGAAGCCTCTCTGGGCCTCGTAGCAGAAGCACTGCTGCAGGATGCGTGCGGGGTCGAGGCGGGCCGCGTCCATGAGCGTGCGCAGGGCACCGAGCCGGTCGCCCCCGCGCGGCGTGATGGGCGCTAGGTAGTCCAGGTGGTGCAGCGACACCAGCGGCGCCACCGGGTGCGCCGCCAGCAACCCGTACGCGTCGCCTCGGATGTCCAGCTGCAGTCACGCGACAACGAGCGACCATGTTTTTGTTGTTATCACACACCACGAGGCATTGTAGAGCATCCAAATAAACAAGTCTATATAGCAGGAATCGAGCTAGAGGACCACCACGTTTGCTTTATGGACTCATCTGAGGCTGACTGCCTGTGATTTCGGAGCAAACACGTGGTTTAGATTAGACTTTTAGTTGGATACGTAAAGGTATTCCGACCCACAAATCTACGTCGGGCAAATGCTATTCCGACCCACAAATCTACGGATATCCTCCATCCACTCTTTGGGGTCCGAAGCTTCTCTGTTCCACTGGTGGGATCGTCACAACTGGAATTGTACAATAATTGAAGAGGACCATGACTGAGACTCCTTTGAGTTCAAGGCATTTCCACACCAATTGCTTAGACAATCTCTGACATCAGCACCACCTTGTTTTTCTCCAATAAACTAATAAATCTTTTTAAAAATAAATTTAGAACAATTTTTCTGCATTGCTTGTTTGATTTTTTCCGTTTTCTTGTGAACGCAAGAAGAGTAGAGTACTAGTATATATATATATATATGAGTAAGCAATTTTAATTACGAGAGGAAGAGGAAGCTTACTTGGTGGAATCCGGGCTCGCGAGTGAGCGGCACGCCGAGCTCGCTCAAGCAGGAGTGCACCCGCTGATCGCTGCCGTACAATTGGGCGTAGCGGTCGAGACACCCGTCGAGGGCTCGGGCTAGCTCGGCCGCTGCTGGGGCGCTCACCGCGAACCCTCCGCCGCCGTACGCCAAGCCGTACGAGTGCATCACGTCCTGCTCCACGCTCTCCGACGGCGCGCCCACGTAGTACATCTCCTCGTGGTCGTACTTCCCCAGCATGGCCACCAGGTTGTCCACAAAGAAGACGGTGTCGTCGTCCCCCATCACGAACCACCGAACCCCAGCGTCCCCGGCGTGCAGCCGCTGCGACTCCGCCACGATCCGCGCTATCCGCGACGCCGACGCCCGCTCCCGGAACCGGGACGCGTTCGCGGACACTCGGTACGGTGGGCTCATGGCCGGCCACGCCCCCTCGGGCGGCGCCTTGTCGAGCCACACGTGGCCCCGTGTCACTCCCGGCCGCCACCACAGCTCGCTGTACCCCCGCCGCCGGCTCCACGTGCGCGCCGACCCCCCGATGCCGAAGACGATGTGGGAGAGATTGGTCGGCGAGGGGTCGGCAACAGCTGCCGCGGCTTCAGCGGCGGGGCCGAGTCCGATGTTGGCGGTAGCGGCCGACCACCCGTAGTCTCCGGAATAAAAGGCGGAGAAGCAAACGAAGGCCAAGGAGAGGAGGACGAGAAAGCAAACGGAAGCGCTGATCCTACCCCACCGCACTCCCCCGCCACCGCCATCGCCATCGCCACCCTCCTTGGAGTGAAACAGGTACTTTTTCCACCCCTGTAGCATCTCTCCTCCCCTGATTTCAGAACCCTAATTCGATTCGAGACGGCGAAGGCGAAGAAGAAGGATCTTGTTTGGCTCACGCTGACGGGTTCGGTTACACAAAATCCAAAACCGTCGTCTCTTCCTTCTTTAGCCTCGAACAGCGGTGGTCGGTGTGGTATCTGCCGGTTCTCAGCTCTCTAAAGATAGCATGAATTGGGAGGAATTTGTACAGTATGTGGTGGCGCAGTTTTGTTTTTGTTTGGGTCAGTTGGGTCGTGGGGGACGCGCGTTGTGTGTGTGGCTCACAAGTGGCGGTTGGTCGACTCATTCACACCAAGTGTTCGTAAATCTGGGTGAGTGAACGAACTCACCTATGAATCCGACGACCAAGTTGAATGAGACGCCCCACTTAGACATATCAATCCCAGCCGCGGTCAGAACACGAAACTGCGATATGTACAGATGCCGCATTATCTTCACCGGTGCGGAAAAACTCTCCTACTTCCACCGCGCAATAATTCGATTAGGTTGTGGACAACCGACGCATCCACCGAGCGAGAAAAGGGTGGAGGTGAAAGGGAAAGGCAAGTAAAGGTTGGCGGTCTAGAGAAGGCCGCGTGTTTCCCATGTGGGCCGTCTCTGTCGCTTCCATGAGGGGAGTCGAGTTAGAATAGTCCGATCTGGTTAGGTCGGACTCGGCGATCAAGGTTGAGAGAAATACCATCGAGAAGGTACCGGACTCATTTATCGATAAATATTTTATATTTAAAATATATTAATCTAATGACGTACGAGATTCCCTTAAGTTTAAAGTTACACGGAAGTTTCAATTGTAACATTTTTATTAGTTTCATATGAGTTAAAGATTAAGATAAATTTATAGGTAAGATTAAATAAAATTTATAGGGATCGATCGAATTAGTATATTATTGTTAATTTTAATTTAAGTATTTTGAGTTAGTTATTTAGATTTAACGAAGTTAATAGATCAATCGTCCTTGATATCAGAGTCGAATTAGTATTAGGGTACTGAGAAGACTCGATATAAAAGGACTATTAACCCTTTGGAGTCATAATATTTTATATTTAAAATATTAATCTATAGGTGATTTATCATACGTATTATGGGTTGAGGATTTAAAGTAGTATTTAATAAATTTTTAAGATGATAGCTAGCTTAATTGGTTAAGATTCAAAGGATTGAATCTCATCCTCACTATTTACCATTTGAAAAAAGATTCAGCTTGACTAAAAACGAAATTTGAGTATTTTGGATGGCTAAATTCGAAACATAAATAAAAAATAGTATGCATGCTTGCAATCACGTAATTAGTTATAAATGTTGTTTATTATACTTGTAATTATTTAAAACAATTAAATGATTACTTGAGTGTCAAAATCTAAGTCAGGAGCTAACTTTTTATGGCTATTTTCTTTCTTTTGTGTGATTTGGTCTCTTTCTATAGATAATTTTTTATTCTAATTTTGCTTTCATGTCAAACTAACCAGCGACATCATATTCCCATTTTGTTTATGATTTCAATGCATTCCATCCTTAGTGTTGGTGTAAACAACTTTTTTAGCCGTGGCCTCGGGGTCGACGCGGCTTGTTCGGGGGTCCGAATGGCGGGGATCTTGTGTGGCGTTCCTTACGGTCTCTGGGTAGCCGATTACGGGGGTCCGATCGGGATGTCGCGTCGGGTGGAGGGCTTTATCGTAGCGTCGGGAAGAGGCAACGTCGTCTTGCACCTGCACACAGGTCGGGTCGGAAGCTCGACCCGACCCCTCCGACAATCAAGTCAGTGACGTAGAGAGGGTTTTGGAAGAGGGAGTGCCTCTATATGTGTTGTGTCTGTCTTTCCCCCCCCCCCCTTTTCGTTTAGAACTCTGGGGTATTTATAGATGAGTTTAATGTTACCTGATGTGGCTGCCTGCAGGAGCAGGATCGTACCTCCGATGACGTCTGACATTGCCACTGGGATTGCGTAGAGAACCGGCTGCTGCAGGGTATGGGCGAGCCTCGGTCGACGTCCCCCTCTGCCTCGGCTGAGCGCGCGGGGTCAGACGGTGGAGTCGTTGACTGGGAGCGGGTGACGCTGGCGCATATCAAGTCGGCGTTAATGCCCACTTCCTCGGGCAGTGTGTCGTCCAGGTATGGCTGACGTCAGGGTGCATTACGTCGCCATTTTTACCCTTATCATATTCCCCTCCCGGAAAGGAGCTATGCGTCGGTTGTTGTACGCACGGGGTCCGATGCATGACTTCTTACTTCAGGTGGGCTGGTCATGTGGACCCGAGGAGCGCGGCGCAGGCGAGCTAGCCGCACGAGCGTGTCTCAAGCAACATGGGGCCGAGGTGCACAACTCAGTCGGGAAGCCGAACAGAGATCGGGGTCTCGGACAACGTGCGACCGAGGGGCACGGCGCAGGCGGGCAGACCGCGCAGGCGTGGTCTCGGGCAACGTGTAACCGAGGAGCACGACGCAGGCGGGCAGGCCGCGCAGGTGTGGTCTCGGGCGACATGCAGCCGAGGAGCACGACGCAGGCGGATTGACGGCGCAGGCGTGGTCCCGAGTAACATGCAACCGAGGAGCTCGACTCAGACGGGCAGGCCAATCAGAGGTGGGCTCGGGGGTCATGAAGTCGAGGAGCACGTCGCAGGCGGGCTGGCCGCGCAGGTGTGTCCCGAAGGGTATGGAGTCGAGGAGCACGACGCAGGCGGGCTGGTCGCTCAGGTGTGTCCCGAAGGGTGTGGAGCCGAGGAACACGACGCAGGCGGGCTGGCCGCGCAGGTGTGTCCCGAAGGGTGTGGAGTCGAGCACGACGCAGGCGGGCTGGCCGTGCAGGTGTGTCCCGAAGGGTGTGGAGCCGAGGAGCACGACGTAGGCGGGCTGGCTGCGCAGGTGTGTCCTGAAGGGTATGGAGCCGAGGAGCACGATGCAGGTGGGCTGTCCCGAGAAGCTACTTGTGTCATTTTCCCTCCTTGTCCATTTAGCGGTAGCGGGGGTTGAAAGCTTTCGCATTTAATTTCCTTTCTGAGGGGGAGCTGGTTGTTTTTGTCGCATGCTTTCGGGCGTCGAGATCGAGGTGCCAGCCCGCTGCCGCTTCAGCGGGGTTGCCACGTCAGGCTTTTATTAAGGCAGGGCGCCTTTTGGCATTTCCGATGCGACGTGACGGTTACGCATGTGCGCGAGTGGGCTGCCGCCCACTCTCAGGAGGTGAAGGGGCGCTGGTTCTGGTGGTATATCTCCTTTAAATAGCGGATGCTCGGCTTTACTTCTATCTTTTGCTGTTGAGTCTCCCTCTTCTGGCCTTGCCGTCCCCTTTCCAATCTTTTGCTTCCTGCGTCGTCCTCCCTTTCTCCGTAGCACCTCCTTGTTAAGGTTAGTTGAGATGTCGTCCTTTCCTCCTTCCCCTTCTTCCCCTTCCCGTGTAGCTGAGGGGGGACGTCCTTCGACGCCCCCCGTAGAATCCTCTGATGGGGAAGCGGCACGGGCCCTAGAGGCCTTGATGTGGCCACACGATATTGACTCCACCGTGAGTGGATCTCTGCTGGGGGGACTCCGGGAGCGCTATTGCATCCCGGAGGATCACATCCTCATTGCCCCAAAACCGGGACAACGAGCGTATGACCCCGTCCCAAAGGGTTTTGCGCTGACTTTGGACGCCCTGGAGGCAGGTCTTCGCTTTCCCCTTCATCCCCTCATTGTGTCCTGTTTGTCTTTCTGGCGGATTTCGCCATCCCAAGTGGCGCCGAACTCTTGGCGTTACCTAGTGGCATTCCTGGGGGAATGCCACTGCACCAATATCACACCCACCCTCAACCTCTTTCTTTCCTGTTATCACCTTTCCAAAGGTTCGAGGGGTTACTTCCTATATGCCCGGATGGGCTTTCGAGTCGGAGGGGCCCCTTCCAATAATAAAGGGTGGAAGGGGAGGTTTTTTTACATTTGCCGTGCACGGGACTGGAGTTTTGGGGTTCGGTGGTCCGTGAGGACTGGAGTTTTGGGCGAAGTAGAGCGTCAAGATCTGGGGAGGCTCAAAGAGATTCTCCCCAGGTCGCAGGCCGTCCGGAACATGACCGAGCAATGGCTGGTCGAGGCGGGTCTCAGCCCGATGCCTCTGGGTACGTTAGTGACGTTTGGTTCGGGTGTTCGCGTGGTTCATTTCTGGTACTAACACTTTTCTTGTTTTTTTGTAGAAATGGTGAACCTCCGGTCGCATCTGGGGGGTCAGGCGTCACAAGCTCCTCCACCAGCTCCGCCGGCCGACCTACAGCCCGGCTCGGAGGACGCCCCGATGGAGGTCGAGGCCGGGCGCCCTCTGAAGAAGGCGAAGACAACGCCTTCGAAGGGGCCTGAGGCGGGCCCCCGTCGGGGCGTGGCCGGGCCTAGTCGGCAGGCGGCTGGGAAGGGTTCGCACCCTACCTCCGTACGTGACCTGTGCCGACTGCCAGCCGGGGACGGGGAGCCGTTCCTGACGCGGCTGGTGAGCGAGATCCCACTTGGGGAGTCCAGCGAGCCCTTGGTTGCCCGCTGGGGGGGCTTGTCCCAAGGGGACAGAGTGTGGGCCGGAGGGGATCCCTCTGCAGCGTTCCTCCGAGGTGCGCTTCATCCTGATATGGCTCAGGATTTGTACGTCCTGCCCTCGGAGGTGCTGCTCAACAAGTTCGCCCAATCATTGACTTGGGTAAGTACGTCTCCTCTTTTCCTGTTTGGGTTTGTCTGTCCGACGCAGACCTTCTTGACCCGTCTCTCCTTTTGCAAGGCCTCCATTATGCGATGGCCCTGATGGATAGGGTGCGTGACGCCGGTTGGGTCACCGGGGGCCTCGTCAGCCGCAACGCCGAGCTTCACCACCAGGTCGAGGAGGTCCGAGCCGGGGCCGGCCCGGAGGCTGTGGCGGCCGCCGAGAAGCGCACGGCGGATTCTGAGGCGGAGGCGGCTCACCTCCGGTCGGAGCTTGAGGCCTCCAAGAAAGCAAACGAGGAGCTCCAGAAAACAATAAGGGTGGAGCGGACCGAGCTCCGCCTGTCGAAGACGGAGGCGAGCGCCCTCAGCAAGAAGCTGGAGGAGGCGAAGGCCGAGACGAGAGCGGCCTCGGAGGCACTAGCGGAGGAGGCCCGTCTTCGACCCGCCAAAGATAAGGAGCTTCTCGAAGCGTACAAGAAGTCCGAGGGGTTCGAACTTGCTAACGCGGACGGGGCGGGTGTCCTTTGAGTATAGACACTGAATCGCCACGTCCCGTTTCCGCACTCGCCACCCTGGTCTTGAGGTGGAGGAGGACCCCTTCACTCCCCACCCCGAGGATCAGGGGGTAGACATGCCCGAGGAGGTCCCCTTCGACGACCGCCTGGACGTCCCATTGTAATAAAGAAGGGTCTTGTATTTTTGTTTTCTAAGTTGCTAGTTGGTTTTGTAAGTCGGGGTCGAGTCCTGTAAGTTTGTTTTTTCTTGAATAAAAGAAAACTTTTTCTTCTCTCGTGTGTCGCTTTCTTCTTCTTTCCTTGGGCAAAAAAGCTTCTTCCTCCTTGGATGAAAAAACTTCTTCTACCTTAGACGAAAGGCTTCTTCCCTCAAACGAAAACTTCTAAGGTTCTGGTCGTTCTATGTTTTCGGCAAAAAACAAAGGAAAATTTTTCTTCTTGTGGCTTGCCTGACTTCTTCCTCTTTCTTCAGACGGAGACTTCTTCCCTTAGACGAAAAACTTCTTAAGGTTCTGGATGTTCCATGTTCTCAGCAAAGGAGAACCGTCCATTGTCGCGAGCCGGTATGTACCCGGTCGGATTATCTCGACGACCCGATAAGGTCCCTCCCATTTGGGGGCTAGCTTCCCCCTCGCTCGGGCCGGGTTGCTGACCTCGGTCCTACGCAGGACTAGGTCGCTTAACTTAGTTGGTCGGGGTCGTACCTTCCTGTTGTAGATCCTTGCGACAGCTCTTTTATAAGAGAGGGCCTTCAGGTGCATGTTGGCACGCCGCTCTTCGAGCAAGTCGAGGCCGGCTCGAAGTCCTTCGTTCGTGATTTTCTCGTCGTAGTTTCTCGTCCGAAGGGTGGCAATGGCTACTTCGGGTGGTAGGACGGCCTCGGTTCCGAATGCGAGGCTGTAGGGGGACTCTCCGGTCACGGTCTTGGGGGTGGTGCGTAACGACCATAAGACGCTCGGGAGTTCGTCCGTCCAGGCTGATCGGGCTGTGGATGCTCTTCTTTTGAGCCCGTCTAGAATGGATCGATTGGTTACTTCCGCCAGCCCGTTCGTCTGAGGGTGAGCCACCGAGCTGAACCTCAGCTGGATTCCGTGACTTGCGCAGAACTCCCAGAACCTTCTACCGGCGAACTGAGGCCCGTTGTCCGTAATGATGGTTTTGAGCAAGCCAAACCGGGTCACCAGGTTCCTCCACACGAACTTCTCCATTTACCGCTCCGTGATCGTGGCTAGTGGCTCGGCCTCGACCCATTTTGTGAAATAATCCACTCCCACGATGACGTACTTCCGTTGTCCCGATGCCGGTGGAAAAGGTCCGAGCAGATCCAACCCCACTGCGCGAACGACCATGCGCAATCGATGGGGGCGAGCGGGACCGCAGGCTGCCGAGGCGTGCGGGCGTGTTCTTGGCATGAACTGCACCGCTGCACATAAGCCTTTGCATCCCGGCACATGGTTGGCCAATAGTAACCTTGGCGAAGTATTTTGTGCGCTAGGGTTCGCCCGCCGATGTGTTCCCCACAGACTCCCTCGTGGATCTCGGCCAGAACCGTCTGAGCTTTGTCGGGCTCCAAACATCATAGGAGGGGGTATGTGAAGGACCGCTTATAGAGCCGTCCACTCACCTCGGAGTACCACGCATGCGTACGACGCAGGCGCCGAGCCACAACCTCGTCGGGAGGAAGGGTCCCATCTCGTTTAAAGCGTAGTAGCTCCTGTACCCATGTGGTCGGCATGCTGCCTGAGGCCGCAGCTGCTATTTCGATGGCACGGGCAGGGAGCTCCTCGACCTCGGGCCAGGCTTCAGGGGCCGGCCTTGACGCCAGCCTAGCTAGCGCGTCGGCTCGCTCGTTCTCTTCCCTCGGAACATTAAATAGCGCAAAATGAGGGAATTTGGCGGTCAGGTTCCTTACTTGTGCCAGGTACTTCGCCATGGTTGGGTCCCGAGCCTCGTATCCGCCGTTGAGTTGCTCGGCTACAAGCTGCGAGTCGGTGAGGACGTGTATGGCAGTCACTTGCATCTCGAGGGCCAACCTGAGTCCCGCTAGGAGCGCCTCGTATTCTGCCTCATTATTAGTGGCTTGAAACCCGAAGCGGAGGGAACGCACGAACGAGCGTCCGTCGGGGGCTAGCAGCACCAGCCCTGCGCCAGCACCCTTCGAGTTGGCCGATCCGTCCACGTGCAGGACCCATGCTTCGGGAGGTTGCTCGTGATCCCCGTCCGCGATCTGGGTTAGTTCTACGATGAAGATGGCCACGGCCTGGGCTTTGATGGCGGTCCTGGGCACGTATCATATGTCGTATTCGCCGAGCTCCACCGCCTATTTGAGGAGCCGCCCTGCAACATCAAATTTAGATAAGACCTGCCGAAGCGATTGGTCGGTGATGACCTCCACCAGATGAGCCTGGAAATAGGGGCGCAACTTCCGGACTGACAGCACCAGGGCGAGCGCGAGTTTCTCAATCGATGGGTAACGCTCCTCGGGCCCGCTCAGGACGTGGCTGACGTAGTAAATCGGAAGCTGTTTGCCGGAGTTTTCTTTGACCAGGACGGAACTGACTACGTGCGGGGAGGCAGCTAGGTAGAGGCCCAGCTTCTCCCCGGGAGAAACTGAGGCCAGGCGGGGGAGGCTGGCTAGGTGTTGCTTTATTTGTTTGAAGGCTTCCTCGCACTTTGTCGTCCACTGAAAGTTCTTTGGGTTCTTTAGCGCCCTGAAGAAGGGGAGGCAGCGATCGCCCGACCGAGCAAGGAAGCGAGACATGGCGACGAGCCTCTCGTTAAGGCGCTGCAGGTCTTTGAGCGTCCGAGGCGACTGTATGTCGATGATTGCCTGGACCTTCTCCGGGTTGGCGTCAATTCCTCTTTCATGTATGATGAACCCGAGGAACTTTCCGGAGGTGACGCCGAAAGCACACTTTGCGGGGTTGAGTCGCATGCCGAACTCGCGCAGCGTGGCGAATGCCTCGGCTAGGTCGGCAAGGTGAGCTCCCGCCTCTTGGCTTTTCACGATTATGTCGTCCACGTAAACTTCCATGTTCCGCCCGATTTGGTGGGCGAACATCTTGTTCACTGTTCTCTGGTATGTAGCCCTAGCGTTTTTCAACCCGAAAGGCATGACCTTATAGAAGTATACCCCTTGATCGGTGAGGAAGGCCGTATGCTCTCGGTCTTCGGGCGCCATTCTGATCTGGTAGAATCCCGAGAAGGCGTCCATAAAAGAGAGGCGGGCATGTCCGGTTGTCGCGTCGACAAACTGGTCAACCTTCGGGAGGGGGTAGCAGTCTTTTGGGCATGCATTGTTGAGACTGGTGTAATCAACGCACATCCTCCAACTTCCATTGGGTTTTTTCACAAGGACTATATTGGATAGCCATTGTGGGTATCTGGCTTCTTCTATAAAGCCTGCCGCTAAAAGTCGACCTACCTTTTCTCGTATGGCGAGTTGCCGGTCAGGGGCCTGCCGTCTAAGTTTCTGCTTCACCGGGCGGGCGTCAGGCGAAATGTTGAGATGATGTTGTGCGACCTCCGGATCGATGCCCGTCATGTCAGATGGGGACCAGGCGAAGATGTCGGCATATTTTCCCGTAGGAGACCGACGAGCTACTTTCGTTCCCGCTCGGGCAGCTCCGAACTGATTTTGACCGTCTGATCAGGCCGAGCTTCTAGCAATGGTACGTCGACGGTGGATCCCCTCGGCTCGGGATGGGGGGTCGGTTTCTTCGTCTCCCTAGGATCCTCCAGCGGTGGTTCGATCCTTGCCCTCTTGTGTAACGAGACGGCGGTCAGGTAGCAGCGCCTGGACTCTCGGGGGCTTCCCGTAACTTCCCCGACCCCGGCGTGAGTCAGGAACTTGATAGTTTGGTAGTAAGTTGAGACGACGGCTCTGACTTTGTTGAGGGTCGGCCGACCGAGGATGGCGTTGTACGTAGTGGGAAGGTCGACCACCAGAAAAGTGGTCATCACCGTCTTCGACCCTAGCGGGGCCCCTAAGGTTAAGGGCAGAGTGATAGCCCCCAGTGGTGAGATTGAATCTCCGGTGAATCCTGTGAGCGCCGAGCACATCGGCTTCATATTCTCCCTAGCCAAGCCGAGCTTCTGGAAGGCGTCGAAGTGGCTGAGCTTCCGGTATCGACCATGATCCTTACTTGCGCATTGGCGATCCTGGCCGATATCACAAGCGCGTCGTCGTGTTCGGGTTGTTCGAATGCTCCGGTCGGGAAAGTGATCTCGGGCTCAGGCCCGTGTCTGGGAGCTTCGGTCTGGGCGGCTCTGGCGTATGCCTTTCTTTCCGTCATGGAACCTCCGCCAGATGTAGGGCCGCCAACTATTACGTCGATGTGTCGCTCGATGGGGCCCTCCGAGCGCGGCGACAGCTCCTTGTCTGGCCGAAGGTACTGGCCGAGATGCCCTCTACAAATGAGCTCCTCGATCTGCCTTTTCAATTCACGACACTGTTCAGTGTCATGCCCATGCTGCCGATGGAAGCGACAATATTTTGATCGGTCTGCAAGCTCTCGCGGGCTCCTCATCGGGTGAGGATCTTTGAGTAGTCCCTTTTCCCTTATGTGGAGAAATATTTCTATTCGGGACGAGTTCAAGGCAGGGAGAGGAGGCCTTGGGTCGGGTCTGTCCATCTTACGTCGAGATGCGGCGGGTTGTTGCTGCCGGGGCGGCTCCGACTTGACCTTTCTGTGCTTCTCCCGCCTCCCGGCCATCCATGTCTCCGCGGCGATGAATTGGCTTGCGCGCTGAAGCATTTCAGGCACCGCGGTGGGGGTTTGCTCCACAAGAGACCAAAAGAACTTGGAAGGCTGCAGGCCTATCATGAATGCCTGCATCAATAGAGAGGGGTGAGCATCCGACAGTCCCCGAATTTGCGTCGTAAAGCGGTTCACAAAATGGGAGAGGGGCTCGTCCTCCCTTTGGTTGAGTCCGAGGAGCAACGCCACGGACGGCTTTGGTCGAGCGTAAGCCAGGAAGTTGAGCTCGAAATTTCTGACGAGTTGGTCGAAGGAGGCGATGGTCCCGGCCTTCAGGCCGCTGTAAATGTTATAGGTAAACATCATTGTTCACAATAAAGATCTAATAATAGAATGAAAAAGTAAAACTGAAATTCAAATATATGTAAACCAAATATTTTTATTCCAACACGGGAATACATTTTGCAAGAATAAATTATTAACAGAAGATTCAGTGTATTTTTCTTTCATCTTTTCATTGCGTATAATTCTTCATTTATGCCGCGGCCAAGCAACTATCGCGTTCAAGTCGCTCCTGATGGCCGATTGCTTCACTTAGTTGCAGCAGCTGACGTCTATTGGTCACTTGACTCCCTAACTCCTTTTCATACCCTACCCTCTCCCTATCACGTTCTCAAACCAGGAACCAGCACGGACTAAAGCTTCCTCTCATCCTTCGCTCTCCGAGCCAAGCAAGCGATGGAAGGCGTCATTCCATTTCTCTATAGGGCCATAGTGAGTTACACCGACGGTGCACGGTCACGTTCGGCTTGGCTTGTTACACACATTTACCCGCCGACTCCTGCAGACTCTTGTCATCGGATATCTTGTTCTCATCTTCGTCGGCTGCCTCAACGCAGCCTTCATCGGCACCAGAGTATCCATACCGGCGAGACCCACCTCCTCATGCTGCTTTACCTGAAGATTGTAGAGGAGATCGAGGCCGACGTCCGGGAATTCCTTGATGCATGTGGAAGGAAGGAGGTGATGGCGGTGGTGATCATTGATCCAAGCGTTCGTAACCTGTAAATGAATCCTCAACGGAATTCGATAAGGCATTGGTTTGTCATGACAAATCATAAGAACTGCATAATGTCTGATAGTTTGTGTATAGGTCTACAGTGCATTGCAAAGTAATATAGACTTGAAAAGACTCGTCCAGTTTAGGATATTGCATCCCATTTTATTCCAGCTTGATTATTATCCCATCGCAGGCGATATGCAATCCTCGCTGGTTCTGAAGCAAGCAAAACGATTAATTCTTGACGACGGTAACAGGGCATGTTGCGTTTGTCAATACGTAGTTCGTCACGCTGCCCAACAAAATCCTGCATAGGCAATGAAACATAAATGCATCAGGATCAGGCAAAGTATGAACAACATATGGTGGTATAGTGGCAGCCTTTCCTTTGGAATTGCTTAAGACAGAGTTATAAATACATCAACCCATGGTGGTATTCAAAATGTGCCATCTATCGATGTAAAATATGTGCAACAGTGTTACCCATTTTGATTCATCTTAGTCATAGATGTTGCTGATAAATAATGCATTTCATGGCATCAACGATACCAATTGGTTATGGATCATTTCTCATATGGTAGATAACAGCAGCATTTCAGAGGTTGGTAGGGACCAAGTATGGAATTTTAGTAAATCTTCTATTTTTCATTATTGTCATTATTGTGAAGAAAGGAATGATCACATATAAAAGTGCAATCCTTTCTCAAATAAAAAAAAAAAAGTTCTACTAGCTGTCCAAAATCTTTATAAAAAAAAACTTAAAAGGTAAGAAAAAACCATGTTAAACTTTTCAAAATACTTGGAAGATTTTTAACTTTAAATCCAGACTTTGATCCATGTTGATGATGTATACAACCAGGAATCAGGAATCATGCATATTTATAGGTGTAAAATAACAATCTAAACTATCTAGTCGACTTATCTAAATTTTCTATCTTATTTGATTCCTTTTACTTAAAGATATTACTTTAAACTTTCACACATTATCTTGTGAAGTTGACCGGCTTCCCTAAAATCCATGGTCGAAGGTGCTCTAATGAAAGGATAAGCTCCTACTTCCTTTTGCCAAGAATAAGGCTAATAATAGTTATTGTGTTCTTGCAACATACATAACATGGTCTTCTTCCTTCTTCCCTAATGGGACTCTAAGCGGATCGAAGTAATAGGAAGCTCGTAACCACAAAAGTGGTTTCTGCATGACGATATGGTGGTTTCTGCCTGCTATGCTATAATGGAACAAATGATATGAACCGAGGAGTGGAACCGATTAATAACCTTCATGCTCCAAATTTAGCTCTATTGGGGAGACATTTGACATGCGAGTACCTAATTTGTTATAATCTGTTCATATAGACGTTACTTATACTATGATATATTTTTTAGTCCACAATGTTGTCGCATAGTTTTCAACTCAGTCCATTCAAATATGACAGCTTATGAGCACATTCTTTGGATAAAGTTATAGCTGTTTCAATGTGTTTTTCTTCGTGATCAAGGAATGCATTAAAGAAGTTAATTACCAACTGTAAAACATTTAATTTCGAAATTTTCTATGCATAAAGGGTTGTTTCATACACTAGTACTTATTTTGATGTTTAAGGGTTAAAAAGAACTTTAGAAACTGATAATATTTGCATAAGCTATCTTGGAGTGCTCTCTTAAACTCTATATCTCTTGGATGCGTCCTTGAGTGATGAGTCTTTTATTTTTAGTTATGTATCCTTATTTATTATTCTTGATGTGGTAATCTTTTTGTATCCCTTTGTGATTTTAAAGTTGGTGGTGAGCTTTCTTTTCGATCTTATTAAAGTTCTATCGTGAGTTTGTTCCTTTTCTACTATCAGCTTTCTTCCAAAATCTATTCTGCATTACCCCTCGGTATCAGTTTAGTATCAGAGCTAAAGGTTAGAGATTAGCAAGGTGGAATAGAAAAGATATAGTTGGTGAAGGTAGTGACTATGAAAATGATGTTAAGTCATTGAGGCTGCAACTACGAAGATTGTTGCATAGTCTATAAGGAAAAAATGAAATAATTGAATAACTTCGAAGTAGAAACAACCATAATGAAATTGATGTCCAAGAGTTTACTTCTGATGATGATACATCTCCTCATCAAGTCGAGAAGATTTCGGGCAAGACATTGAGTCCAAGATGAGTGGTAGAACAAATACAACCCAAGATTGGATATTCCAGAGTTTGAAGATAAAATAAATGATGACTTTAACGATTGGCTTAATACAGTAGAAAGAATTTTCGAGTGGATGAATTGGTGACAAAGGGGTTAATTCGAGTAGGGAGCTATTCTACCTAACAAGGCAGCTTACAGAATGAGTCCCAAGGAGCATGAAGAACTTCAAAGGCAAGTGGATGAATTGATGAAAAAATGGTTAATTCGAAAGAGCATGAGTCCTTATGTGATTCTAACCTTATTGGTGCCTAAGAAGGATGGTTTTTGGAGAATGTATGTGGATAACCGCATCAACAATCACAATGGATTATCGTTTTCTCATTCCAAGGTTAGATGATTTACTTAATCAATTGTATGGTACTTCTATTTTCTCTAAAATTGATTTGAGGAGTGGCTATCACCAAATAAGAATGAGGCCCGAAGATGAGTGGAAAACAACATTTAAAACTAGAGAAGGCTTATATAAGAGGTTGGTTATACCATTTGGGCTATCTAATGCTCCTAGCACTTTTATGAGATTTATGAATCACATACTTAAGCCTTGCATTGGGACTTTTACTGTGGTTTACTTTGATGATATATTAATGTAAAGTAAGAGTGAAGAGGAGCATATAAATCATATTAAAGAAATATTTTTTATTTTGAGATAGCAAAAGCTTTATGCTAATCTGAAAAAGTGTGATTTTTTTACTCATAGTGTGATGTTTTTAGGGTATGTTGTTTCAAAAAATGGAATCATGATGGATCAAAGCAAGGTAGAAGCTATTCTCAATTGGCCAACACTTGCTTCATTGCATGATGTGAGGAGTTTCCATGGCTTAACTTCCTTTTACAGAAGATTCAACAAAGGTTTTAGCTCTATTATCGCTCTAATCACCGAATGCCTGAAATATAATAAATTCAAATGGACTAGTAAGGCTAATTATGCTTTTGAGCTTTTAAAAAAAAAGATGACCGAAACTCCTATCTTAATACTACCAAATTTTGATAAGGTGTTTGAAGTTGAATGTAATGCATCTAATGTGGGAATTGGTACTATTTTGAGTCAAGACAAAAAGCTCATTGCTTTTTTTAGCAAGAAACTGAATTATACAAGAAGGAAATATTCTACCTATGACAAGAAGTTTCATGCCATTTATCGAGCTTTATCTCATTGGAGTCAGTATCTTCTTGCCAAGCCATTTGTCATATATTCTGATTATAATGCATTGAAGTTCATTAATCACCAGCATAAGCTAAACAAGAAGCATGCGGTTTGGGTAGAGTTCTTGCAATCTTATAATTTTACAACCAAGCATAAATCTGGTGTTCAAAGCGTAGTTGTTGATGTATTGAGTAGAAAGAATTCTTTATTATCAGCAATGGAAGTTAAAGTGGTTGGATTTGAGACATTCAAAGATCTCTATGAGAATGATGTGGATTTCGGCTCAATATGGCAGAATTGTAAATCAAGTTCCTTTCAACAATTGTGTGTTCCATCTTGTTATTTGAGATAAGTAATTCTAGCTGAAGCTCATGGTGGTATTTTGGGAGGACATTTCGGTAAGGATAAGACTCTAGCTCTTGTTCAATCAAATTTCCATTGGCCTAAGATGTTCAGAGATGTGGAGAGACATGTAAAACAATGTCGAGTGTGTCATTTAGCAAAAACAAGAAGTCAAAATTTTGGTTTGTACACTCCATTACCAATACGAATTGCTCCATGGGAGAATGTGAGTCTTGATTTCGTTTTGGGACTGTTAAGAACTCAAAGGAACAAGGATTCTATCATGGTTGTTGTTGACATTATTTTAAAAATATCTCATTTTGTTCCCTGCAATAAATCAAATGATGCATCTCATATTGCTGATTTGTATTTTAAGGAAATTGTTAAATTGTATGGTATTCCAAGAACTATAGTGTCTGATCGAGACTCTAAATTTCTTAATCAATTTTGAAGAACTCTTTGGAGGAAGCTAGGTACTTTTTTGAATTTCAAGAGCTCGCATCATCCCCAAACCGATGGACAAACTAAGGTAACGAACAGAAGCTTGGAAAACTTAGAAGCTATGTTGGTAAGAACACTAAGCAACGAGATCTTATTCTTCCACAAATTAAGTTTGTCTACAATCGTTCCATGCATCATAGCATTGGTAAGAGTCATTTTGAGGTTGTTTATGGTGTTAATCCTCTCATTCAACAACTAAGCAATTTAGTGGAGATGCTGATGAGAGAGTTAAACAGATAAAGAAGCTGCATTAGGGTGTTAAAGTAACCATAGAAAAGTAAAATGAGAGGTACATGCAAGCTATCAACAAACATAGAAAACATGTGGAGTTTAATGTAGGTGATTTAGCCTGGATTCATCTAAGGAGGGAGTGGTTTCCATCGGGTAACTTTGAAAAATTGAAACCAAAGGCTGGTGGTCCATTCAAAGTGTTTAAGGGAATTGACAAAAATGCTTATGAGATTAAGCTACCTGAAAATTATGAAGTATCCCCAACATTTAATGTGGCTGATTTAAGTCCTTTTCATAATCATGTTGACAAAACAAACAAAGACTTGAGGATAAGTCTTTTTCAACCAAGGGAGATTGACATGGGAGTGCCTAATTTGGTATAATCTGCTCATATGGATCTTACTCATGCTATGGTATATTTTTCAGCTCACAATGTTGCCTCATAGTTTTCAACTCAGCTCACTCAAATATAACAGCTCATGAGCATGGATGAAGTTATAACTGTTTCAAGGTGTTTTTCTTCGTGACCAAAGAATGCATTAAAAAAGTTAGTTACTAGTTGTAAAACACTTAATTTCAAAATTTTAAGGGTTATTTCATGCACTAATACTTATTTTGATGTTTAGGGGTTGGAAAAAAATTTAGGAACTAATGATATTGGCAAAAGCTCTCAAAGAGTGCTCTCTTAAACTCTGCATCTCTCAAAGAGTGATCTTTCTATATACCTTTGTGAGAGTGATCTTTCTATATACCTTTGTGATTTTAAACTTGATGGTGAGCTTTCTTCTTAATTTTATTAAAATTTTATCGTATGTTCATTTGTTTTCTTCTATCGACTTCCTTCCAAAATCTATTTTGTATTACCCTCGGTATCAACCTTTCTCATTTATATATAGTGAAA